CGTCCAGAGGCCATGCTCTCTAACCACTCCACCAGGCTGAGCCTCTGAGGCAAGGGTGTTAGAAAAACATGTGGAGAAAAAATATTTTATCCTATATAATAAAAGCCTAATAGGCTAAGTGTCCTGTCGCCTGTTCAACCAATCAAAGCGTAATATGCTAATGATATGCTAAGGCTGCTCAACTGCTTGCTATGATATGCACTGACCACCAGGGGGCAGATGTTCCCACTGGTAGGTTAGCTTGCTGCTGGGATCCTGCCTATCAGGATTGAGCAAGACCGGCCTTTCACACCCTAGAGTCCTCCCAGGGTCTCTCCCCTGCTGGCCAACCTCCTGCGTCCCTCCCCAACCCTGATCATGCATTGGTGGGGTCCCTCGGCCTGGTTTGCACCCTCTCGCAATCCGAGACCCCTCGGGGGATGTCGGAGAGCCAGTTTCGGCCTGATCCCGCAGGCCAGGCCGAGGGACCCCACTGGTGCACCAATTCATGCACTGGGCCTCTAGTTTTACAGAAAACATGAAGTATCTGAGATTGTAGCCATTATAATCTAAGACAAAGATTTTCATTTAAGACCAATTTTTTTTTTAAAAAAAGAAACATTCATCTTCAAAATTCTGAGCTGGAAGTATGGTATTCAATACCCTGAATGGGAAATTTACAAGGTAGGGGACATTATTCTCATTTTACTTAGGTCAATTAAACTTTTTTGGCATCCTAACAGGGACCCTGCTTTTTATGATTAATCACAAAAGATCAGAAAATCAAACTGATCACTCATAATTGTCCACCTTTTTGGAGTCTTTTCCAGTTTTCACACAAATCCATTCAAAATAGTGTGAGCCAATTTACAATAGCTAAAATCTGGAAATAGCCCAAGTGTCCATCAGTAGATGAGTGAATAAAAAAAGCTGTGGCACATTTATACCATGGAATACTATGCAGCAGTAAAAAAGAAGAATCTCTTACCCTTGGAGACAGCATGGAGGGACCAGGAGAGTATCATGCTAAGTGAAATAAGTCAGTCAGAAAAAGACAATATCACATGATCTCACTCATATATGGAATCTAATTAACAAAATAAACTGATGAACAAAGTGGATCCAGAGACATGGAAGCATGGAACAGATTGCAGAATCACGGAGGGAAGGCGGGGGAGGTTGGGTGGGTGGAAGATAATCAACCAAAGACCTTGTATGCCTATATGCATGGCCCATGGACACAGACAATAGGGTGGTGAAGGTCTGGGGTGCGAGGCGGGGGCAGGCTGGAGGAGGTCAATGGGTGGGAAAAAGGGGACATATGTAATACTTTCAACTATAAAGATTTAAAAACACACACACACATATCCCCAGTGGGGGGGTGGGGTGCAGAAGGCAGTTGATTGAGGTTTCTCTCTCTTTGATGTTTCTCATTCTCTATCCCTCTTCCTTCCACTCTGTAAAAAAAATCAATAAAATATATTTTAAAAAAGAAAAAAAAAAAACAAGAAACACACACACACACACAAAACAGTGTGAGCAAAGAACCAAGAGATTGCCTTGAGTTTAAAAGCCTATTTTGCTTAAAAGCCTTAACATTTTAAGCAACGGATTTAATGTTTAGCTATGATTGTATTTTCTCTTAAGGCAACTTGTCTAATGAATCTGAGCTTCCATCTGTGATTACATCTTCCATATCCAAATTTATTCATGTATGTGATTCCCAATTATTCAAAAAATACTCTGCTTTGGCTTTTATTCGCACACAGCCCAAGATTTTCAGTGTAAGTGGAGATCCAATTTATCATTGTTATACCCTTCAGCAACACTCCTGTCAAATAATAATTCTTTCATAAACCCACAAACCAGGAAGACAGATGCAAGGTCATTTACTATAAGAAAGTAACCAGCGCTGGCAACAAGGGGTTGTTGCTGATATTTTCCCAGCGTTATCATGTGTGAAGGCTGAAAGTTTATGTGTTTCCCACAGGGCAGATAGTGTCTGAATAAATCAATAGTAGTCAAACGTAATTGGCATTTAAACGTATTATACAACTGAGTCCCTTCAAGACAGAAAACAGTTGTAATCCTTGTAATAGCTGAAAATAAACTTTAGGAAGTCTTACTGACAGTCATTGTTAATTCCTGAAATGTGACATGAATCTCTTAAATTTCCTGGTTAATTGATTTTTTTGTTTTTAAGGAACTAGAAAATACATTTCATTTTTTTCTGAGCAATAGATAATGTGGTATTTCTGTTTTAGCTTGTGCCTCTCTAAGGGTTGAAAATTCGTCTTTTAAAAGTTGGACACTTATGTAACTTGCCTTCTGGTAATTTCAGTTTAAATTGGAGAGGGAGACTAATAGAGTTTCCTTGGGCTTAGGACAGAATATATGGATTTTCCATTGCATTAAGTTGCAAAGACACTGATCTGGCTGTCCTTGGCTGCCCATCCTGTTTTCCAGGTCTGATTGGGAAGAATGCAAATCAAGAAGAAATATGGTACACACAGCAGGATGTAGAAACGATGTGTGTCTTTGTGTTGTCTTCCACTGGAGAGCTAGTGGTATGTTTTCAGTTGAGTATGAGAAAGTTGAATTATGTTAAATTAAAGCAGTTTGTGAACTATATATGGGAAGGAAAATATGTTTTTATTGGTGCATGTGAGAAGGAGAAGACTGTGTCAGCATTTTGTTGTTGTTGTTCCAGTTTCTCCTACATACATAGTTCTTCTGGTTTCCAATATCACCCCCTACTTATAGACACAGGGATCAGCATGTGACCCAGGCCTAGCCTATGAGAGAATTCCATCCTTTTGGCTAGAGTTTTTGTTTTGGGTACCTAAACTAAGGCAATTGGATTTATAAATGCAGTTAGTATGGCATATGTCTTATCCTAGAGTCATCAGCCATGAGAATGTGAATCAGTAATTGCTGCTGG